GGTGGGGGGGGCAAGGAGAGAGGACTCGGATGGACTTTGCATGAGAATGGTCAGGGTCCTGTGAACCTTTTGCTCCCTACAACCATATTCAATGGCATCGCTGCAGTTAGCATGACAAACTGGGCTCCAAGTTCTCGGACCTTTTTTTTGCGCTCCCCACCCCCTCCATCACCACAACACCCACCTGTGTATATCGAGTCAGGACATACATCTCGTACACAGTACGTAACAAAGGTTTAAACCACTGGTTCTCTTTTTTTTTTTTCCCACCTGACCCACTTAATAGCCACTGCAGAGGCCCGTGACACCAAATTATTCTGCTCTGAGTACACAAACGTCCTCAACAACCCTAATAAACAAGGATTTATGGATGATCCAAACAGCTTTAAAAGCAAGATTTTTATTTTAAAGTTATTTTATTTTGGGTTCATGTAAAAAACATTACATCACGACTATTTTTTTATCACCTTTAATTTCATTTGTGTAGACTATCCATGGATCCACATGACCCACAACTGGGTCACAACCCTAACTTTGAGGACTACTCTTTAAACTGTAGCAAAACAAGATTTTAACACTCCCACCTTTTAAAAGGWAATACATTTTTGAAATCAATATTTTTTTATTCTCCTAATGCACTTTTAATTGTCCACTTCTTCATTTTCGCATTTTCTACACATTTACCAACTCAAGATGGAAACTGAAATTCAAACATGTGTACGGATCAAACAGTGTTTGTGTGAATGCTTCGACACATCAGTGGGCCTCAGCTGATGTTTGTCAAATTATATAAATGACACAACCAGGATCTTATAAAAAACTAAACTTATATCATATAAAAAGTAACATTTGAGGAAATAAAAATAAAACAACTGTGTTTCTTTCAAAATAAAGATAAAGGTCACTATGTCATACAGATGTGTGGAGACATTATGACACAGACAGTTCTTTTTAAAGCTATGATAAAAATATGAGATCATTTTGAATTAAACTGAGTTTTTTTATTAGACAAAACCATTTAGACAAAAGAGTTGGAGTATTAGATAAAAATGCAACAAAACCTTCACAAAAGTGATTCTATCACCAAAACATTTTCATCTGAACACATTTATTACTTGATTAATCCGTACAATTATTCATACATTCATTCTGTGCTTTTACATTTTATAATCAGCCCTGCACAAACTGGAAATAATAAAAGAATATATATTTTTATTAATAAGCAAAAAGGTAATTTCCTTGAGCAACAATTAAACAAATAAAATAAACATTTAAATGATCACATTCTGTTTATTTATTTATTTATTCCAAAACATTTCTTGATAAAAAAATAAAAAATAATAAAATCCAAGTTAAAACAAGGAGAGATGATTTAGGAGCGTTCTTGTTCCTTTACAGGCCTATAATAGCTCACATGCAATAAAATCCCAGATTGACCAGTAAAGCCAGGCGTCGTCCGTCCTGCTGTCAAAGGCCTTTATGGTGTTAACAGAGCAGGACGTCATTAGAGGCKCTCTGAACACAAACAAACACATAATTACAAAACAATTAGTTCATCCCAGTGGAGTCATTTGGGTCAGTAATGAGCTGCTTTTACAACTCAAGGATCTATTGTGAGCATAGTGTGAGCACCGGTTCACGATGTTTAAAATAAATACAGTTCTTTAAGATGAATGAATAATTGATTGTATTGAAATGTTTGAACAGTAAAAGCTGAACAATAATACATGAAGTCAGAGGCTTGAAGATGGGGGGAATGTGCAACGTTTATCTAAACTCGTTTCCACGTAGCATCAGAGGGGAGCGGTTGTGTACAGGCTTTATGTGACATGATGCGTAACTCTATCTATAGGTGTCATGCTATCATTCCCACCATTAAAGAGGTTTGCCACCTTCCCAGTGACCCCTGCCTCGCCTCACAGGACACAGAAAACGACCTGATCGCCACGTTGTTTTTACTGTASGCAGGCTGAGYTGAAACACCTGCAGTGTGTGTGTGTGTGTGTGAGTGTGTGTGTGTGTGTTGGTCACTCTGCACGCTGAGTCGTTACAAAGCGTCCAGTGTGTGCAGGGCTCGGCCTTGTCTCCGGTGAGACTAGGGGAATCTGGCATGGCCAGTAAGCATGTATATCAGGCCATCTCACGGCTGGCTGGACGCTCCCTGGGTGGCCCGCTGTGGTCAATACTGCACCACTGACTGGACACACAGAATGAGATAATCTGCTTTCTTTCAGGGCCATGGTGCACATACACACACACACACACACACACACACACAC